CACTTTTTCCTTCCAACCGTATACTTTTTTCCTTCATTCGGCTCGAGAGCCTTGTATATACATTTAAACCATCTCGTAGACAATTGCAACATTTGCTATTATTCTCATTTGCTTAGAAATTGAAATGCATCTCATCTCTATTATTCTTCTCTCCCTTATTTGAGTTTTTATTTGCGGTCGACTGTTGTTTTTACACAAATGCGATGTTATGAGACATGGAATTAATTCTATAGCACTATAACTGTTTTAATATGTTTATTGCTGAAACATCAATAGCATTATTCTACTCTTTGTTCATTAGTAAGACTATTTCGAGAAAGTGACTTGTGACTTGATGGTTTGTTACTTTGAGATATTACGACAAATAAGACAGCTGTGGTTCGAGTCATTTATATTCGAGTTTACTTATTTTTTAACAATTCGATATGACAGTGTATTATGTAACTTTATAATTCAATACCCTTAGCGAAATAAGAAACTTGTAAAATTACCGCAAAATATAATGTTTTCTCATATATCACAAAATAAACAAATTCCAGTTCACTTATCAAAATTTCAAAATATTACGACATTTTATACAACAATAGCTGTTCCTTGAATTCGTATAATAAAATTTTGTAATGTCATGTGTGTCATAAAAGAAAATTGTCATTGACAATCGTCTTATAGATTTAAGCAACCTTTGTCAAAGAACACCCGAGGTTACGCATAACCTTGCTTTATACACCATGGTAGCAAGGTAATGAAAAATTATTCAAATCATGAAACGAAAGCATTTACAATGCTCGTAACATTGTTACAATTATTTGATCTTCACATGCCATTTACGTCGAATTGGTACAAGGATAATGTCACTGTATCTCGCGGTGATGCTGCAACTCAGTGCAACCTTTGTGACGAAAATATATCCGTGATCAGCGCAAATAAGGAAGAGATATTTGATGTACCAATATGTAACTTTCGTGTAATTTCAAGATAAAGTAAGTGTTGAAAGATTTTACACTTACGAGTATTGGTTGGGTAAAATGAAATCAGGAAGCCAAGAATGTCTTGCAGCTCATTAATTTTTCTTCGTAATGTTCAAGCTGTCAATTCTCCCGAAGTATTGGGCGCAGATTATTCGTCCTATTAAGTTAGGTATTTAAATGGTGCGAATATGAAAGTTTATTCTATTTTATAGCTTTAGTTTATTTTCTGAATCTCTTCGCATTATCTCTGGAACAAAACTTGTCATTGTTTGAGCTCCAACTAAACGTGGTGCAGCAGTGACGGAAAATGAGCAGATCTGAAAACCATCGACAAAAAGAGTTCAAATCCTAGGAAATATTAATGAAAAAACTGATAAATTGATAAACTTTTTCCCATAAATTATTTGAATCTCAAGGAAGAGCGGTATATTATCTGAATGAAAATTAAGCCGGCAGAATAGTGATTTGGCAAGATATTAAGATTTTTTAACAAATGTTTTGGATTCAAACGTCGTGTACCTTATCGGTAATTAACCAGTGCAATATAACCAAGAAATATAACCAGTCCTTGGATGATTAGAAATGCTGCCTTGTTTTTAAACGAATTTCATATAATATCACTAATCATCTCCGTTACGGTCTTTCACCATTATTTATCGTATATTACGAATTTCTCAAAATAATTTTGATTCTCGGAATAATATTTAAAAAAAATGCAGCTGCAAACACGTGACTGAAATTCATTCTTTCTTGGATCTTCTTTGCAACCTTTTAAACTTCCTGCTTTACCTTACCTGAGGCTATAATGACGTCGCACTTTTGCACACTCAAAAATGCTGTATATTACAGTTACTGTTGTCTCAATGGCATCAAGATTTACATTTCTTATTTTCATCACTGATCTCTTGTTATTTTACGTTATTATACTTATTTCGTCAAGTATTTATCGGAATTCATAATTCTAGATTAGAAAAAAGAGGTACATAATTCAGATTTCATTTGAATGGCCTTATATTGGTGAACCTTTTGTGAAGCATAGCCTGAGGATAACTTGGCATATGCAAAACGGATGTATTAATTAGCATACAAGTGTCATAAGATGAATAGCGATCATTGTTCGTTCTTTTAGTTTCGATGATATCTTTCAAGCAAGATTAATAACGCTGCATATCTAAGATTAAAAATACCTGGTTGAAAATCGTTCTTTTATATAGTATTAGATTATTCCAAATACAATGAACACATTTTCATATGGCAATGCCAAAAATAAATGACTGATTTTCGTGAAAAAAAAATCGACCTTCTACAAACGAGCATTTCATACTATTAATACTATCTTCTCCACTAACGATCCTATTAAAAAAATATTTTAAACACTTTTTTTGTAAAAGATAATCATAAACCAATTTATATACGATACAAGCCATTTTCTATACCGGTATTAAAAACAGTACATTAAAATACAACAGTACAACAAAAATAAGGAAAAGTAAGTTTTAATCATTCACTCGTTGATGAAATCGAGCGGTAATTAATGTAAAAATCAATGTGAAATCAATTGTAAATGTAATCAATTTTACAATTATTAATTTTTATAAATAGCTCTATATTTCAAACTCATCAAGGTCCTCGATGAAACAATCAAACGATTTGGAGCAAATCAATGGATTACCTTCAGTAATATATTGTCTATGAAATCAAATTATTTTTCATTGATTCTGTTAGTTTGTTCAGTCCCGAAAATGGATATTTTAAAATGTAGTCGAGACAAATTGATTTTTTCTGAAAGACTTGTAACTTCGTTCATCTTTAACAATTTGGAGCAGTATTTACGGTACACCCATTGTCTTATAAAAGCTTCAATTTGATTGGTTGTACAGTATTACAATATTTATTCTTGTGTTTAAAATACAAGTATATTAAATTTCTCAGTCAAATATAAAGATAAGCTAGTATGCTGTCGATATTTTTGTATTTTTCATTCTCTTTATACGAATAGAATCCATACTTTCTTATTAACTTATTACTTCAATATTTCTGGAAAATTTTAGGATGATGATGCAAAGACGTGATTAGAAATAAAAAAATATTGAAGATTTCAGATTCAATTAAAGATCGATTGTATCTTATACCTAAAAATAAATAAAGCAAATAATCATATTATATTATGATTCAATCTCGGTTTTATTTCTTAACATTTGTCAAGAAAACAATGTCAAGAAGACAATTTATTTATAATGTACTGCTTTCAATTAAATTTCCAATATGGTTTCTTGTTACGCACATTGTTTTCGAAACAAGGAATGTTTAGAAATACTCGCTCGAATTAACAACTCAATTTCTCCAAGCGATATGATGTACAAGTAGCTTTTATGTATTAAAAAATCCTGTAATGAATTCTTATAGCCTCGCGCTGAAGAAAAATGGCAAAATAACGATGCTCTATAGCTCTTAAAATTCAAACTTAGCAACTGGTTACAAAAACCCGTGAAAAGGAAAAGTGAGGATTCCACAGGAATGCCAAAAGAACACACGCGAGTTCTTAATTCTTGTCAAAAATACAGAAACACGCGAATGAGTCAGGTGGTGTTACAAAGCACGCATGGAATACCAAGCGAAAACGTGGTACGAAAATACGAACATTGTATTTTTTACGAAGCAGCAAGAAATCCAAGATGCATCCACCGTGGTGGACGCGAAAAAGAAACAGAAGGAGTTAATGCGACTACAGACAAAGGAGTTGCGATGAGAAAAGGCCAGTGCTCTCGCTCCTTTTCAGAACCACATCACTGGCGCAACTATATCGTGTACTTCAGTGGGAAAGTCATGCGCCTCAGATACAACCCCGCACGCGCTCGTCTAGTGAAAAAGGACAGCGTCGGTCAGACGTGCCGCCACCGTCGCGCCGGTCGGTCGCCTGATTGCTCTCTATGTCGGCGTTTATTTGCTGCCAATCGCGTTGCAGCCAGCAGTTCTTAAGCAATAAGCTGAATTTTTTTCAACCGATTTGCGGATTTGATTTCTTTCAGGTGTGATGGATTTATGGAACACTCACTTGCGTGGTTACGGGATAGAGCTTTTTTCTGTTTTGCGGAATTCCCATTTTATATGGTTGAATTTGTAGGCCAATATATCGTTATGTAAATTTTAATCAGACTTTAGAAAGTTTGCTCATTGTACCGTAAATATTTGGAAAATGTTATCAAGTTTTGACAGCAACGGCTGTCTATCGCTGTCGTTTAGGAAATATACGAGGAATTTGTATTCCTTTTTCTTCTATAATTTTTTAATATTTAAAAATTTTAATAAAAGAAATAATTATTTGCTGGGTGTGTTGCCATTTAAAAGAAGAGAAATTTATACTTTTTGTCGTAGAATATTGAAAAAATAAGCGCAAAAAATTAATCTAATTTAAAAACAGCATTCCCCTATTTAATATACGTTTTCATGTTTCTTAACAATAAATGTTCCGTTATAGAAAAACAACTGGAATCAACAAATAATTTTCTTGGTATCCGCGATAACGCAAAAAGCCACACACGTGACTAGCGTGCTGGGGCCAGGTAGCAGCGGCAGGAGCAGCGTTGCAGATAAAAAACAAAGATAGCGAAAGGTAGTCCCACGAGTGTCGCGAGTGGGGTCTCACAACGTTTCCCCGCTCTCTGCCTAGAGGTATAGAGCTACGTAGGAGTAACGCGCAGTCGCGGAGCCCACAAGCAATAAGCGCGCTCTTCCTTCCGCGCGTACTCACTTACTCACTTACTCACGCTTTCGCCGCCGCGGCCGCGCGAGAGCTGTCGAGTATATAGTAGAAGGGGCCTTATTCCCCCTTTCCCTTTTGCCCCCCCAAAAATATTTCGGTGAGCTGCTGCTGCCGCCGCCGTCGCTGCCGACACCGCCACTGCTGTTCTTTCACTGAGCTGCTAGTCAGTCTCGTGCAGCTTGCCGTAGACCCCCAACGAGCAGAGTTCGCGATGCTCGCTCAGTGCTGAGTGTGACCCTTCGCGACACCCGATACACGACTGCGATTTGGTTTTGTTCTGTTTCTCTCTTATTTTGCTTCGGGAAACAATTAGCGAACAGTGCTTCTTTTGAAGAAAGACGTTGTTGGTCATTCGAAACACACATTACCATCGGCAAGGATGAGGTGCTTGGTGTTGCTGCGGTAAGTTTTTTCACTTTTGCCTTCCTTCTATCTGTATTTTTCTCTCTGCATAGTGGTTTTATCGAAAAGCTGACGCTTCGTTGCGGAATCGGGCTTCATTACGAAAGTTATGCGCGAAAGTTCATTGTTACCGAACATTTCGAACTTGCCGGTCGGACCTCGAGGGATAAAGTAGAATCTTGAGTAACAACTTGCGCGCAAGTGCAAAAGTTACATACCCGTGGGATTAATGTTCAATTAAATTAACGTTATCTGATTATAAATAATTCACGTATCGATCAGACTGTATCTAGCATTTCAATAATCTATACCTGCAAGCTTACAATAATATTCACAACGCGGAGCGTAAGACCACAGAAGATACACACACTCTTTTTACCATTGATTAATGCGTCGTCGTTGAATTAAAATTTTTGATAAAATGAAAACGATTTTCAGTCTAAAAGCGATGCGAAAGCTTATTCGGCATACATATATATTTAGCAGCTTCTGTTCTATGTGCACTTGATGCGCGTGGCATTAATGATAATAACGTGAGAGCGTGAAAGAATTTCACTTTGATATACGTATATTTCCAAGTAGATAATTTATAATAAGGAATCTCGCTGACCACAACATTTTTGCAATGAATTCTATTATAATTGAAATATATCGGACCGGCTACTGAAAAATTACTTACATCTCAATATCAAATATCAAATTACAAAAAAAATGCTTACGTGAATATAATCGGTCGACTCTCCACATTGACACTATATTCTTTTTGCAAAAAACCAAATCGATTAACAGGCTATAAGTTGCTACATAATCGCGGTCGTTGCGAAATAGAGAAGGCGTCGAGAGAGAAATTTGCTAATTTTTTTTCTTTCTTTAGACTAATATCGACGTCAAAGCGTACAATAATGACGTGATGTCAGACACGTATTTCCTATGGACGAAGAAAACCTGTTTGGCATTCTTGTATTTTCTGTGCATTGATGCAACTCGATAGGGATTTTGTCGTGGCAAGGTCGATTTCGCCATTTGATTGTGGTCAGTGCCACTGTGTCGATTCTCTTTGCCATTATGCAATTCGATAGATATGCCTGGAATGCGAACCCGCACACCTGGTACACTTTCGTTGTTCCAGCGATACGATTATTGTACTCCACGCTGGCGTCATCGCTCTGATATTGCCAGTTTTGCGTAATGTGTCTTTTTACTTGGAAGATAGCAACAAATTATTTAGAGAACCAAAATAAACGGTAAGAGTAGCGTTGTCGCGCGGCCAACCTGACCAAATCTCCGGCGTTACGAAATCACTTTCTTTCGAGACAGCGGCTACTGCTCGGACAATCGCGCATGACAAGTATTATCTGAAAGCGTACGTCGATCGCAGGCGCCAAGAAGTAACATCTAACGCTGTTACAAATGACGATCGCTGCCGTTAGTAATCGAAAGAGATTGTTATACAATGATCCTTGCAACATTTCCTCCAGTACACGCGCTCACCCTACAACGTAAGTCGCGGTAATGATAAAATGGTCCAAAAAAGACACGCGGAGATGTCATCATTAGCATGTCTCGGAATAATGTTGCCGAGATTCATGCATGTGTGAATACTTTGACCCAAATCCAATCGACCAACTTAAAAGAGCGCAGAATTCATGACGCAAGTGTGGTTACACTCTCGGCAATACATATCTATTTTTTATTATATATTATAAATGTTATATCTTTTTTTTATAAAAAAAGAATTCGAGGCTACCTGCAAATTCACTTTCAGCGTCGAAGTGCGAGAGAGAACAGACGCAGAGTCCGATCCTGCGCGAGTAAAAGCGTACGCGTCCAAAATTATATGCGCGTACGTGTTTGTACAAAGCCACGCGGAGAAAATGACAAGCAGCGTCAGGAGTGTTATTGACTTTCCTCGCGCTGAATATACGGTGACTGCGTCATCCTAATCCTGGATCGCTGACCCAGTGACATGGATTTTGCCACACACGCGAGCTCACCGCTTGGCGCGGGGAAAAGGATAACGGCCTTGAGGCGTGCATGCGCTCCGCGCTTCATGGGCTCGTCGCCGCCGCTTGCGCGATAGCAGAGCGAACGTACCGATGATGTTACTGCCTGCGTGCGCAGCGGCCTCTTGCTATTTGCTTTGTTGTCTTCGCGGCAAATCCATATTCGATGCTTGTTAAGGGTAAATTCTGTAATATAGTCAATTTGATTCTGAGATATTTTAAATTTATAGTATAAATAGCATTTAAACAAATGTTCTTACTGAAAACAATTAAAAGTTGATTTATTTGGTAATGAAAAAAATGCTTCACGCCATGTAGTAGACGTAATCATATTTCTTTAATACACTTGGCCACTAAAAGTGTTATATGATGGAAATTCAAAACAAAAGTGGAGTGTTTCCATGTAACGTTCTCGCTTGAAAAATCAACCATAAAAGTTTCTAAAGAAGACACGAAAAGAAGCTCTCTTAAAAAACAAACTTTCTTCTAACGTAATTAGATCCTCGAGTGAAGATGTCAAGTGACTTTAACGAGTGTACGAGCAAGCGCACGTATTACATACGCTTCAAGATAGATTCGGAGAAAAGTACAAATGAGCGTGAAAGTTTAAGGTTCACGTGACAATAACCGGGCAAAATAACTCGAGTTATTACGCCGCTTATATGAATTTTTTTCAAGTGCAGTAATCCGTGCGTTCGAAACGACACATCGTAAATGTGAAAATACGAGCGAGAAAAAATAAAATCGATCGATCGTCGAATGGGCCCGCCAATGTGAATCGATTTTCACCTTATTTTTTACGATCGCAAATATTGTCTTCGGCGCGAAATCTTCACGCGTTCCCAGGGCTATAAAAACGGTTTCCCGCGAGTGTATTGCAGCGGAAAACAGAAAATTAATCGAATGGGACGATTAAATTAATCGTAGCCCTGCGGGCTCTTCGGAATAATTATCCAAATGTTCATATATACTCGTCGTCAATTTCACTAATGGGCTTTCTCTTTCTGTTGCGTACTTTTCTAAGCCATGCGCGCGATCTTCGAATTATTAACATTTTATCGCAGTGTTCTTATAGCCGAATATATATTTGGTCGTGTATAGGGACATCTGAATTTAAAATCTAAGTGGAATATCTGTAAATTGATAAAGTTTTTCGACTTTTGATGCCGTAATCAATCATCAATCTAAAACATAATCCCGAAGTGGGACAAATATGCCAATTAGAATCTTGTAGAAATACTCTTTGAAAATAAAAGTATCCTCTCACTCGCGAGTCTTATATGCGTCGCACGTGTATGGCAGAGAAAGTCAAACAAATGAAAAGGAAACCCGCTGTGAGCCTGTATAAATTTAACATACGTGGACGAAATCGAAGCAACATCATTCATCCAGATACGTCGAGAAGCGCAAAAAGAAGCAGAAAACGGAAGTAACGAAAGAAAGTTCGGAAAAAATGTCACGTACGACGAAAACCCGGCTTCGACAAAAGGAAGAGTCGAAGCAACGACAAATAGGACGAAAGAAAAAAAAACTAACGAATCGACACGGACAATTTGGTATGTACGAGCTCGCAAGATTCTTATTCCCCGATACCCTGATGGAGTTGTTGACTTAAGTTTTTTATGAGTCATTTGACTTTTGAAGTCCCCATACGGACGTAATTGTTAAACAATTTTAATGTGCTTCTGAGTAGTACATTTTAATTCCGTAAGCGATTACTGCTAATGTAAACATTGAAAAAGTATACGACTACTTTTGTTATGTCAAACATGAGTATTAACATTTTACAGTTTAAAAAGATTTTTTAGAATTACAGTGTTTTTCTGGTGTTATTTATGTGATGAAATCTAAAGTAGCTGTTCTTAAAATGAATCAATTGTGTCTATGAATATAATTTTATCTACATGCTAAATATTTTTGTATGTACGTTGACTTGATGTTTTTGAAAGAATGCTTATTATTCTGTTATATTTTAATATAAAAAATCAGTTACTTTTAAAATTAACTTGTTTTTAAATTTTGAAGAGACGTTTCATCGAAATACTGCTATTTTCTATATATATATAAAAGAATGGTGGGGTATGTATAGCTGATAAGATGGAATGTGTAAAAATATTGTTTTTTCTGTTATTAATCACGAAAAAAGACGTGGAGTTCGTTGGAAGGAAAGAGATTTTTTTCTGTATCGTATTAATATTCTTCAATGGAATGTTACTTTAAAAAAATGATAGAACTTTCTCTTTTTTTCTATTGAATGACGACACCATTACAGAAAAATCTTCTCAGTCAGCATATCGATTAAGCAATCCGTCTATTTCAACGATTATCATTATGACTACTTGATCAGTGCATCATAAGCTGTAGAAAGAATACATAGACAAGGTGTTTTAAAGCGCAATTCTTCATTACCTTAATTTCCGGTGACTTTTTTCATAAAGCAAAAATACTCACGGATGACGGATATGCAATTTCACAATTTTCTTACTCATTCATGCTACTGCGGACGTATAACCTCGTTATCGTAGGTCAGGGCCGAATGACACTCCGGACATTGACTAGAATATTTTTTCTCTTTTCTCTCACTCTAACTTTTATGTGCATCGCTTTTATTGTTTTTTCTTCGCGTTTATGTTTCTATGCTTCCCAATAATTTTTTTTGCGAGCACCTCTTGACACTTCGTAATACAATGAAATAATTAGTATTTTTTACGACGACCTTTATTGTTTTTCTCGGATTCACTGTATTGAAATTAACGTAACTGCAATTTTCATATTAGTTGTTATTAAAGTTTCATTTTGTCTGACGTTGCTACATTGTACTCTTCACGATGGAAAATGTTTCTGTTGCACAATTGAAAAACTTTGTCATCTGCATACTATAAGTTGACGTACATCTGCTAGTGCAATACTTTCTAAAAGGAAGTGTGTTTTTAATTTCAACTTTTATCTCCTCCCGTAAAAAAAACTAGAGAATGAAACATGCAAACCTGTTTGAAA